CCGCGCAGGTGTGCTCCTGGCGAGGTTCACTGCTGCCCACAGGTCGAAACAGCCCAGTGCCCATCAACAGATGATGGATCAACAACACATGGTCCATCCAGACAATGGAATGTCGCTGGGCCACGAGAAGGAGCGAAGCTCTGACACTCGCTGCGCCGTGACGAATCTTGAAAACATGTTGCTGCATGGAAATGGCAGGTGCAGAAGGCCACATGTTGTGTGAAATGTCTAGAATAGGCAAATTCACAGACAGAAAGTAGATGAGTGGTTCCCAGGAGCTGGGGGAGGCGGGGTGGGGAGTGACTGCTGACGGGCACAGAGTTTCTGTTTGGGGGACAACAGTGTTCTGGAGGTGGATGGTGGTGATGGTGGCACAGCATGGCGAGTGTACTTAATGCCACCTGGCCCTCACCCTTGAGGCCTTTGCCCACATTCCTGCTGCTCCTCCCAAGGCCAGGGTCTCCCTCTGCTGGGCCCAGCTGGGGCTTGCACCCTCCCCAAATGGAGCCCCCACTAACCAGCCGCACCCCAGACTCCTGGGAGACCAGTGCCTTCAGAAGCTCCACCCGCCACCAGCCATTGCAGAAAGACGCTCCACAAAATTCAGCAGCTGCTGGTGATGAGTGCCTGTCAAAGGAGGGGCAGAGGGGCTCCGGGCTCCAAAGCAGACAGCGCCCCAACCTGGACGCCGTGGAAGCTCTGTGCTTTCTCCTCGGCACAAGCTCCGCTTTCCAGGTGAGGCTGTGGAAGGACGGTGTGTGCACAGAGAAAACTCAGGAGAGGCACAGACCAGCAACGGCCACTCTCTGTTCCCAAAGCGCTCCACGGCTGAGAGGCAGCCCTGCAGACCCACCGCCCGGGAGTGGTTCAACGAAGCTCCCTCTGGCTCGGGCGGCTGCTCTCTCGCCTGTCCAGCCATCCACTCTGGGCCTCAAGCTCACCCTCATCCTGGGGCCCTAGGGACTTGGAGGCCCCAGCAAGTCTCTAGGGAAACAGCTAACAAATCAACATATTGCCTTCTTTTTACTTATTTTTTATTTCGGTACAACACACAAAAAGGGCAGAAGGTCAGAGTGCAGCTCAGGGAGTTATCACAGCAAACTCCGCGTGAGCACTGCCCAGGAGCACCCCCGTGAACCCCAACCTGTTCCCCCACCTCCCCACAGGCAGGCATGATTCTGACTACTGACAGGCCTTTCGGTTCTGTTGATCTTTCATTTCTGTCTCTGAGAGTCATCCCTTGGTCCACTGCAGCCGTGAGTCATCGTGTGACTGTCCCACAACATCCTTGTCCAGTCCATTGTGTTGGTGACACCAGGTTGCCTCCAGCTCGGCTCTCTAGGGGCCCCTGTGCACACGTCTCTGTGTGGACACACCCAGCAGAGCACAGGCACGTCCAGGGTCTTCAGCAGGCAACACAAGCAGCTTTCCAACATCTTTGGACCAACCGGCATCCCTCCCCTGGAGCACCTGAGTTCACGCTCCTCCGAGTCCTCGTCATGCCTGGTGTGGTCAGTCATTTTATTTGTAGTCATTCTGGGGCGTTGGGGGGTAGGGGGTGTTGTGGAATCTCATTAGAATTTTCATTTCCTTGATTACTAATGGGGTTGAACACCTTTTCACGGTTTGGGCCATCAGATAGCCTGTTTGTCGAGCGACAACTCAAGGCTTTTGGCGGTTTTTCTACTGGAGTGTCTTCATCTTGTTGATTGGTAGGTGTTCTTTCTACATTCCAGATAGGAGCCCTTGGCTGGTAATACAGGTAGTTTATCTTTGTCGCCCTGGGGCTGAGTTTTTCACCCACTTAATTGCGTCTTGCAACAAACAGAGGCTCTTAATTTCCACACTGTCCAATTTAGTGGACTTCTCCTCAATGGACAGTGTCTGTGATCCTGTCTCAGCAGGCTTTCTCCCCAAGGTCATGAGACACGCTCTGACACCCTCTTTTGGTACAGAAGCTCGGTCGTTTTGTCTTTCACATTCGAATGGAGAATCTGCTGTGCTGACATTTCTGCTTTTTCCTGTAGATCCACCCTCCACCCTCTCCACCCGTGTCCCTACGGCTACAGCAACCAGCGGCCTCCAGCTGGTCTCTGGTGAAGGAAGGTCCTGCAGGGAACAGCAGCGAGGGTCTGGGGTACTTAGAGCCCCCTGCTCCGTCCCTCGGGGCTGTGTCCTTCTCGGGGGCCCTGCCTCCAGCTACAGCTCAGCGATTCGCCAACTGCTCCCCTCGGCCCTCGAGCCCAGGGTAGTAACTGCTCCCCTTTTCAGTTTCTCCTAATCTTCCTACAACTTCATCAGGAATTCTTTCCCCAAACTCTCCTCAGTTACCCCTTTGGGGGTGCTTCCTGTTCCTGTGGGGACTTTGGCCATATCCTGCCTTTTGTGCAACGTCCTGTGGCTACTGTAACAAAGGACCACA